TCCTCCTCCTCCTCCTCCTCCTCCACCCCCTCCAGCTGCGGCGTCGGCCGCCCTGCCGCTGGAGCCCCGCTCGGTTCAGGATGAGTCATGCGTGACCAATCCCCTCCCCGCCAAGGGAGAGCGAGACACACACAGCGAGGCAGCGACCCAGAGACACACACACACAGTCATATAGACACACAGAAACTCAGAGCTGCGGACAGAGTCTGAAACACGCGGACATACAAAGGCATTGGCAGGCCCACAGCCACACAGCCCTCACACTGCCCCTCCCTCACAGGGCACCCGCCGCCCTCAGGCACAGCCCCCCTCCCAGGGACACACCATGTAGTCACACCCGATGCTCTGTTGCTGCAGTCCCACGCCTGGTACCTCTGTGTGCATGCGGAGGCAAGTGACCGCCCTTCACCTCATTTACAGGAGTACAGGCGTCCACTGCCCCCACACACCTGCACAGACACCTGAACGGGATTTGGCCGGGTGGGGAAAGGGTTCTTGGAGGGAAGGTGTTCCCCTGAATTCTCCGGGGAGGGATTGCTTGGGACTTGTCCCTTCCCTTCGGGAGGTGCTGAGCCATCCAGCCTAATGCCCCTCTCGCCTTCTCCATGGTTCTGCTGATGGAGAGGAGGGAAAGGCAGGGGGGGCCCGGGCATTGAGAGAGGACACACAGACACCGACTCTCAAAGACAGAACCTCACACAACGAACACCCTACAACATACACACACAGGTGAACACTCACAGCCTCAGCCCCCTTCTCCACACACAAACTGACCCCAGAGAGACACGTGTAAGTATACAGACTCTTCTAAAAAACAAACGTGCACACTCAGACTTAGACCCAGCCCTATGGACGTGAGGACGCCGCACCTCCGTGCCATCACTCACCGCTACCTCCTTAGTTACCCTCATTTACAAATGTAAACACCCCACACAAGTGTCCTTACACTTGTACACACATTCATACTCAGGGGAGCACAGACTCCCACAGTGCTTCAAACACATGTAAAACCTCCTGTCCTCTACTCAGACACCCACAGACATGCACACACATCCCTACAGGTGGCGAAATAACCACTTACAGACAGAAACAGCGCCACACCTCCGCAGACACAGGATTCCCGTAGTCACAGTCTCAGTCATGCACACACACAGGCACTTCCTAACGGACAAGGGCAGACAAGGGTATCTGCACAGCAACAACTCCGAAAGATACAAATATCTGTTCCTTTCCAGGCACCAAGGTACACAGAAACAGCCCCAACCCCAGCCAATGGTGTCTCCCACCCTCTGTACCCCTGCATTCCAGTCATTTATTGCTCTCAGACAGGAATTCAGAGTTAAAAGTTTCTCTCTAAACCCTAATCTTTTACACGAAAAGCACAATTGCAACGTGAAAGCTGGTGAGGTGTGTGCATTTACACACCTGTGTGCACACACATACACATGCACCCTCAAACATCCAAATAATCACAAACAACCTAGCCCCCCTCAGATAATCTATTTTGCACATAATAAGCCCAGTTACTGCTCCTGGATACTTTAATCTGTGACAGGCTTGGCATTTTATAATCATGGTTTCATTTTCTTTTAACAATAACCTTATGAGATAGTGTATCTTATTGTACTGACTTTACTGATGAGAAACTGAGGCTCAGAGAGAGCATGTGACAGGTCCAAAATGGTGTCACATGGCTAATGGCCAGAACTAAGAACTCAACAGCAGATTCGTCTGACATCAGAGCTTATACTAGAATTCCAGGCTGTATACATGACCATGTCCACTCTCTGCAAACACACACACACTCGGATGTGCACAATCACATTAAAAAACAACAACAATATTTGTCAGGAGACCTGGATATGACTCCTGGTCTCACCACTTATGGGCTAAGCTTCTTTTCTCATCTGCAAAATGAGAATAATGATAGGATGACCTTTATCTCCTTCTCTTCCTCCCTTTCTGGGTGGCTGGGGAAAGCGGGAGGTCATTGAACATTATACAGACCTGCACGTCTGCCAGATGTGTGAGTGCAGAAGGACTCCAGGAAAGGAGAAGACCAGGAGGATGGTACTGGCTTTGCAAAACTCCTCAGGCAACAGGTGTGGAGGAGGCTTGAGCTAAAACTAGAGGCAGATGAACTTTGGGTGGATTCAGGGGAGAAAAGGAAGTATGAAAAGAGAGATGACTGCAAAGACCCAGGGGCTGGACAAACAAGCTGTGGCACTTCTGTGAGAAGGAATGGGAAGCATGCACCCTCTGAATGGTAATAGTAATAACTACCGTTTGTGGATCATTTATTTTTTTATTTTTAAATATATTTTAATTGATTTCAGAGAGGCAGGGAGAGGGAGAGAGAGATAGAAACATCAATGATGAGAGAGCATTGACCGGGGCATGTGCCCTGACCAGGAATCGAACAGTGACCTCCTGGTTCATAGGTCAATGCTCAACCTCTGAGCCACGCCGGTCGGGCTGTTGAGCATTTATGTGCCAAGTACTGTTTTACCTGCATTTCTCTTTCGGGAACCCCAAAGAATGTTATATTATTATACCTATTTTATAGTTGAGAAAACAAGCTTATAGGAGCTTAATTTCAAGCGCTAGCACTCAGACTCCAGAACCCAAAACGCTTACTTACTATTCAGTTTTGCTCCTGAATTCTGATTAGATGCTCAGAAAATCAAAACTGGACTAAGAGGCATTAAACTCAGCAGTGAAGCACAAGGACTCTGGAGCCAGACTGCCATGGTGCCCATCTTGGCACTGCCCCTTATTACTGGGGTAAGCCTGGATAAGTGATTCAGCCACTCTTCAGTCTCAGTTTTCTCGTCTGTAAAGTGGGGAATGATAACAGACTTCACTTCTTATGTTTGTGAAAATGAAGCAAATACTGCATGTTTTTTTTAAAAAAAGGCTCAGAATCATCCTTGGCATGCCGAAAGTGGGGAATGATAACAGACTTCACTTCTTATGTTTGTAAAAATGAAGCAAATACTGCATGTTAAAAAAAAAAGGCTCAGAATCATCCTTGGCATGCCGAGAGCAACAAATAAATATTAGCTATCATTACAGTATGGACTAGCTGTGTTGTCCAGTTGTTATTCTACTGGATGCCACTTCAAATATTTTATGGAGGAAGGCAAGGCATAAATCAACCAAATGATCAAATATTATCCTGAATAACTTGCCTGAGGAAGCTGCAGAACCATTATTGCAACCCAGGGCTTGCCTGACTTCAAAGAAGATAAAAATGAAATTACTTTGGAAGAGAAAACTCTCTTCCAACAATGCCTGGCTGCAGCAGGAAAGAGAGTCCAGACAGGAGTGCCCTTGGCAAAATCAGGATTAGCAAATGTAATACCTCCCATCAGGACATTTGACTTCTTCCTACAGGAGACTGGGCAAGTCCTTTCGCTTCTCTGAGCTTCCGTTTCCCTACATGCAAAATGGGGATAACAACACTTACCTCTCTGGATTGTGGTGACAATGAACCATCTATTAGAAACTAATATCTTTAAAGTGTTGCCTCTATTCCTGCAAAAGCACCTTCCGTTGTAAACTGTTATAAGTAGTCTACATAGGCAATGTCATCAGCACCCTATGTGAACAATGTCACCTAATTCTCACCTCAATCCTTCTTCTGGTCCCTAAACAGGACGGGGTGGATTTTGCTACCCTCCTCCACCTGAGTCCAGGTCCTTGGTTTGGGTTTGAAAAGAGGCTTCATTAGTAACTGGGTAATTCTGTGGGATCGCCCCCAGCAGCGGTTCCGCCCTGCCGGGGAGTAATTCTAGGAAGGTAATGTGAGCTGGGGGAGGCTGGAGACCCTGCTTCACATTTATTTACTCTGACAGCTAAATTGGTGAGCAAGGGGGAAATCAGATGAAAGCCATTTTCAGAGTAAATACTAAATACAAAATTTAAACATTCAGGTTGTGACAAATGGGAAGGGGGCAGTGGGACATGGGCGGACACCCCTCCCCACTCAGGACCCTATCTTCACCTTGTCACCTTCCTGGGCATTTCCTGTTTGACTAGAGGAAAGAGCATGGAATGGGCTTAGCACTGCATGACCCTGGGCAAGAAATTTACCTCTCCTGGCCTCTGTGTCCTCTTCGCTAAAATGTGTGTGTTGCTTGAATCCGATGAGTGGGAAAGCGATGGAGGGAGCTCTAGCCTTGGAGTCAGAGAGACCTGAGGTCAAACCCCAGCTCAGCCACATCCTGGCTGGGTGAACTTGGAAAAGTCACTTATCTGAACCTGAGTTTCCTAAACTTTGGGGATAAGATCAAGCACCGCGGAGGAGTAAATGAGATAGTCCGTGTGAAAGGGCTTTTTGGACTTGAAAGTATATTGCAAATAGGAGCAGCTATAGTCACCCAAAGTCCCCTTCCCATTCTGACATTCACTGTGGAAATGAATGTCAGCGGGCATTTATGAAGGACTTACTCTGAACCAGGCTCCAGGCTGGGCAGGGGAAATGCAGAGTGTGTCATCCTGGTCCCTGTCCATGAGGAGCGCAGTCTACCGGGAGGGAAGAGAGCCAGCATTTGCAGCGCAGTGACACAGGTGCTGGAGGACGACGAGGAGGGGCATTTAACCTGGCTTACAGGTAGGTATCAGGAAAGGCGTCCTAGAGCAGATGACCTTTCAGTGAAGTCCTCAGGGATGAGTAAGTGTGAGGCAGGCCAGCCTGAAGAGAGTTGGCTCAGAAAGGCGAGTGGGTGCACAGTTAGTGGTGTTCTGTCTGGGGCAATGTCGGGAGATGAGACTCAGAGGTAGGTAGGAGCCAGACTGTGGAGGGCTGAGTGCTGAGTTGAGTCTGGAGCCATCTTCAAAGCTCTGGGTGTATGAGCCAACAGTTCAAGGAAGCAGCCTTCTGTCTCTGCAGAGGCAGCTTGGCATGATGGTGCTTAGGGATCCTGGTCTGGAGGCAGGTGCCTGCCTGAGTCGATGCCTGACTTTATTACACACTGCTTGTGGGACCTCAGGTGAGTGACAAACTCTATGAGCCTTAGTTACCTCAACCACAAGTAGTCATCAACAGAGAACCCATTCACAAATGCTGTGATGATTCTAAGAGACCAAGGCACATCTCTAAGCTAAAACCTTGGTACTGGCCTGGCATCCAGTAAGCACTCAGTCACTCAGTGCCATTGTCATCTGTAAGAAGAGAGTGTAAAAAAGGCACAGGAGACAGTAGCTAAGGGGGGAGTCCTTTATGGGGCTAAATATTCCTTCCTCAGAGAATTCTGCCCTGACCACGCTATTTGAAGTAAGTCCCTCATACTAATCTTTTCCCAGCAGAGTGTAGAAAAGGCTTAAAAATAGGCTAGATTAGAATAACCTTGTATAGCATGATAAGGAATTTCAACTTCAAAATATAAATGATGAGGGGCCATCCAAGGCTCTTAAGCAGGAAGATGATATGGTCAAATTGGGGGTTTGGAAAGATGGCCTAAGCCGTCGACCAGTCCTTCATTGAGTCCTGAAGATATTGCAATAACCTTGGAGAGAGCGGATGAGGCAGCTGCAGAGACAAGAATGGAAAGAGGAATATAATGAAAACTTAATTATTGTATATTACTTTATTGTTATATATGGTCATATATTAAATACATTTATAGCCATATATATATACATATATATATATATGACCTATAATACAACAGCCTCCTAAATAATCTTTGCATATTAAATGAAGTTCTACTTAATATAGAATCCTATATGGTATATAACACTAATACATATATTATGTACAATATATGTAATATATGATTCTATATAACAACACCTATAATGTTAATATATAAAGTTCATTATTTAGGAGACTGGGTGTGGGCGTGGGGGAGCAGAAAATGTCAAAGATAACTCCAGGTTTCTAATTTATTTTTCTCCATATGTTGTCCCCAAAGACACAGAACACAGTAGAGTTGGGGAGGGGCTCAAGGGGGAATAATGAGCTCAGTTTGGGTTCAAGGTACCTGGGTAATACTCAGGTGGAGGTGCCCAGGGGTGAACTGGATATACAGGTCTGTAGCTCAGAAGAGAGGCTGGAGCCCTAGCTGATTTGGCTCAGTGAATAGAGCGTTGGCCTGCAGACTGAAGAGTCCCAGGTTCGATTCTGGTCAAGGGCACATGCCTGGGTTGCAGGCTCGATCCCCCAATAGGGGGCATGCAGGAGGCAGCTGATCAATGATTCTCTCTTATCATTGATGTTTTTCTCTCTCCCTGTCCCTTCCCCTCTGAAATCAATAAAAAAAAATATATTTTAAAGAAGAGAGGCTGGAGCTGAGACAGGAACTGCAGAGACCTCAGTGGAGGGATGGCTGGTGAAGCCATGGGAGCTGGGATTTGACAGCATGCAGGACTAACTCCGCGTACAGAAGAGGGTTGGCTCGTTTGCTTTCTGATTTCACGGGAAAGTAACTTGTCCCTGAGGCTCATCTCATTTTCAGTAGAAAACATTTTTAAATGATAAAGCATATATGTAGTAATAAGCACTAAACCAGAATCAGGTATTTAAGACGCAGAAAGGTTATTAACTGCGTGGGGGGACTGAGGATGATGGGAAGATGTCTGTTAGATACACGGAGGTGTGCAGAAGGGACTTTCCAGGTAGAAGGAAAGTCTTGCACAGGGACATAGGGAGCTGGGAGATTGCATCGTGTTTGGGTAGACGAGCACTTCCCTGTGGTTAGGGGAGAATACATATTTGGGCAGATGATAGAAGTCCTCAGCCCCCTGGCTTATCTTGTGTCTAAGTATTCGGAAGTGTCTTAGCTCCTCTCCTGATTAGTTCACTTACTTCCCTGGGTTTTGTTCTTCCTCTAGCACTTTTCTTAACCCTTTTGCCTGGCTTGTGCTTCAACATCCTTCGGCGCTCAGCTCAGGTGTTGTTGCCTCTGGGAAATCATGTATATATGGCCTCATCTCCGTTTCTGGTTTGGTTAGGTGCCCATCTTCTGTGCTTTTGCAGCTCCTGAATCTTCCCTTTATCCTGGCCCCTGGCACAGGGACCACACCTCAGCATCCTCCACCCTGCACCCTCCACCTCTGGCACATGGCAGATGCTCAGTACATGTTTGAAGAATCAGTCACTTTCCTTTGGATGAGGTACCTATCAGAAAGCTTGTCAATGCCAGAAGAGGAAAACTTACTTGGTTTTATTTTTAAGGCTAAATTTTCAATTCTATTTCTAGCTTAGAAAGGTCATAGGACATAGCAAAAATAAAATGGCATTCTATATAATCAGTAATCCTAGCCAAGTAAGACTGAATGCACAAGAAGGAAGGTACAGCACCATGTTCTGGGATAAATTCTGACAGACCTTTTTTTTTTTTTTTTAAACCTAGGATTCAAGTCTCTCTCCAGAGACCACTAAGGAGAGCCTGTCTGAGAATGAAACTGACCCAGAGGAAAACACAATCAAGAGATAGACAAGATTCCTGACCATATCATTTGAACACCTGGACTTTTCAGTTACATGAGCCAATAAGTTTCTTACCATAAGGAAGTTGGAGTAGGGTTTTTGTCACTTGAACTAAGTCTTGACTAATCTGTTCACACAGCTGGGGCTAGAAGTCAAACTCAGGCACCTCTGACACCAAAGCTCTTTGGGTCTTAGTTCCTCATACAGATGATGGGATTTAGTCTGCACTTGCATAGTGTTTTCCAGTACAGTGATGCTTCTAGGCTTGGATAGCCAGCTCTCTATTTCAAAAGACGTATAAGGGATCAGAAAGGTGATGAGGAACTGACGGTGCTCATTGCACACCATTCCTTCACCTGTGTTGATTTGATTCTGTGCCATTAACACCAGAACCTTCAATACCACAAAAATTTAGAAAGACATTTCCACTAATAAAATATAGTTCAGGGAAGGGCTCGGCAAACTTTTTCTGTAAAGGGCCAGATGGCACATATTTTAGGCTTTGTGAGCGATAGTCTTTGTTGCGCTACTCAACTCTTATTGCAGTGGGAAAATTGCCATAGAAAATACACAAATGATGGACATGGCTGTGCTCCAAAACAATTTATTTATGGACACTGAAATTTGAAGTTCATGTAATTCTCATGTGTCATAAAATAGTATTCTTGACTCTTTCCTCAATCATTTAATGTAAAAGCCATAACCTTGTGGGTTATACAGAGGGCGCAGGCGTTTGCTGACCCAATGACCCCAAGACTAGGTAGGTGTTTGCAGGCCTGGGTTCTAACTAATGCTTGCCCATGAACTATGTGATCCCGGCCAACTCACTTTGTCTCTCTGGGTTTCTTTTTTCCATCTGGATGATGAGATTACATGGGATAGCCTTTCAAGGCCCTTCAGCTCTCAAGTAGCATGATTCTGACTTTTCATCAACAAATATTTGAGCAGCTATTACATACCAGGCATTGTTTTAAATGTTGGGGATATATGCCTGGCTGGTGTTGTTCAGTGGTTGAGCATCGACCCATGAACCAGGTCATGGTTTGAATTCCAGTCAGGGCACAGGCCCGGGTTGCAGGCTCCATCCCCAATGTGGGGCGTGGAGGAGGCTGCCAATTGATGATCTTCATCATTGATGTTTCTATCTCTCCCTCTCTCTGAAATAAATAAAAACATATAAAAATATTTTTTAAAATGTTGGGGATATACTAGTAACAGTGAATAAAAGTTCCTGCTAACATGGAATTTACATTTTAATGAAAAAATTTAGAGTGGGAGCTTGGGTGAAAAAGGTGAAGGGAGTAAGAAGCACAATTGGTAGTTACAAAGTAGCCACGAGGATGTCAAGCACAGCCTAGGAAATATAGTCAGTAATACTGTAATGACTATGTATGGTGCCATGTGGGTACTTACTTTAGGGGGATCACTTCTTAAATTATATAAATGTCTACTATGCTATATACCTAAAATTAATAAAAATAATATTAAATGTCAACTGCAATTGAAAAAATTGGGTAATGGTAAGTATTATTCAGAAAATAAAGAAGGGAAAAAGGATTGGGGAGTAACAGGGCTGAGTTAAGAAAGGGAGGTCAGGTGGCCTCTTGATCATTGATATTTGCACAGACACATTGACAAATGAGCAGTGGGCTCTGAGGAACAGCTAATGTGAAGGCCTTGTGATAGGAACTCCAACAAGGCCAATGGGACTGGAGCACAGTGCACAAGAGGAATAGCAGAGGGCTCCATGGTCAGACAGGCCATTTAGGCCTTGTAGGTCTTTGGAGTTTATTCCAGGTGTGATGGAAAGCCATTGAGAAGGGAATGACATGCTCAGATTTTAAAGGATTGCTTTGGTAATGTGTAGAAAACTGACTCAGAGGTGGCACTGGTGGAGGCAGGATGATAGGAAGGTTACTGCAATGATCCAGGTGAGAGATGACAATGGCTTGATGGAGAATGGTAGCGTTGGAGATGGGGACAAGTGGTTGGATTCAAGACGTATTTTGAAGGTAGAGTTTACAGGACTAGATAGAAGCAGGAGAGAAAAAGAAAAATCAAGAATAAAAATGATGGGAGAAGTCCTATTTTAGGAACATGATTACATACCAGTAGTTGACAGTTAATTTATGAGCAAGAATTGATCCTGTTCTTTTACATAGTAATATTACAAATGAGATATATTTGCCGACTCAAAAATTAACTATACCTACCTTAATAGTAAACAACAGGGCTCTAAGATATTTGGTTTTAAAAAACTTTAGCTGCTGATTTTTGACATGATTTGAAAAATCTTTCATTATGTGATCCTCTGCCCCAAAACGGACATGCCAATTACAGAAAATCAACCGGTTAGGGTTACATTTTACACTTGATAAAATAGGAGCCGAGATTAAGATAGTTCACATTTCATCTAAATATTTCCCTCAATTATTCACTCTTATATAAATCAAAATTATTAAGTGATGTGATTTTAGCAAAACAGTAAGCCAACAAATAATTTTGAAGTACAGATAGCACTTGTATTTTACAAACCTTTCACTAAACTGCTTCCAGCACATTTATGACACACACATTTCTTCTTTTGAAACTTCTACTTTGAAAAAGGGATTAGCCACAGTATGATGCTTTCAGGGACTTCCAATAACAATTTCTTTTTAAATACATTTGCAGTGAGAACAGCTAGTCTTTTTTCTCATGTCTAAGAACAGAATTAGGCAGGTATAAAGGTGGAGAGAACTGTCTCTGAGGGCGCCTCTAGCCAGCCTTCTGCAGAGAAGGCTCTTAGATACAGCAACCCCCACCCAACCCCTACCTCTCCCTGACACACTGGCCCGAGTTCTGAGGCAAAACAAGCCTACCAGAGAGCTGCAGTCTTTATTCCAGAAAACAGATGAGAGATGACACAACTGCACAGACACTGTCTTCCATTTATTCACAGAGGAGTAAGAATTGGTACAAATAATAAACATTGCTTTAAATACAAATAAATAATTCTGGTTTCTAAAGGAAACAGCTCTAGATAATTCAAAGTTAAGTATTTTCTAAGTTCCTATTAAAAATAGAAGACTATTTTGCATTAAGTGAGTTCTACATCACCACAACCCTTTGAGGACTTAAGGATAAAATAGTGAATTCTATACTCTAAGAAGTCACCAGAAAACTGGGAGATGATTTTCCCATCTCTGTAAACTATCCCCCAAATGGAAGGAGAGTTACGTGCATCATAGACAGAGCTAATGAATGCAGAAAGTATTTAATACCTAAAGATATCTAGAAAGATTTACCTTGGGAAAGGTGGTAAGAACTTCCCTGAACCAGCTCTGTGAATTCTGAAACCCCACTATGCTGACGATTTGGTTTAAGTGTCTTAAATTCACTTATGCTCATAGGAAGACTTAAGTTCCTATAGTGAAAGTTTCCTCTTGCTATGAATGACAATGGTAAAAAGTCTGTAATCACTAAGAATGGCACCCTAAGGTGAAATAATGATTTATCTGGTGAAGAGACAACGGTGCTGCCCAATGACACAGTCTGTCCACCTGGCACCAGGATGACCACACCACTGAGAAAAACACACTACCTAACCACACTACCAAATAAACATGATTTATTTTTCTCTCCCTATTGTTATAAGTCATGCAGTCTTTCAAGCCTTTAAAAACCACATAAAACATGAGGTCATTACCATCTTGGTGCCAGAGTAGTGCCTGCTCCACTGTGTCCACTGCATGTCCCCACCTCACCCCACACAGGCAATCCAATTTCTTCTACTAGACCCCTAGGCAATTATTAATAAATAATGTTTGACAGAGATCAATATAGAAACATTCAGGTTTTCAAATAAATTTTGTTGTCTATTTAGATTGATCATGATACAATTCCAAATAGAACATTCTCATGCCATAAAAACAATCTCATGCAATAAGTGCATTTTAAAAGCCCCATGTTAATAACCAGATTTGTATTATAGAAGGCAGGATTATTTAGATTAAAAAAATGATGATCACTATAGAATAAAAGCTGGATTTCCAAAGAGAACTTCTGTTGTGGTACAATATGCTAAATTTGATTCTATAGTTTTGTTGATGCAAACAATTTTAAGATATATGGCATATTTTGCTAATTGGGATTTTGAAACAAAAAGCATAATTCTTAAGCAGATTACCACAACATTTGCTCAAAGAACCAGCTCCCTTTTGCCAAGAACTTTTCCTTTTTAGTCCACTTGGAGGGATTTCCATAGTAAATTCTAGAACAACAATTCTCAACATGATTCAAAATCTCCCAATTCCCTCCCTGTCTCTTTTATGTTGTAAAGACACTTGAGCCCAGAAAAATGCCCTATTTTTTTTTTAAGACAGACGATAATAAATTTAGTTTCCTGATTTAAATAATAACATTTTTTGTTTGCCTTTCTCTCTGGCACACTATATAGTGTTTCTGGAGTTACAAATCCAAACAAACCAGCCAACTAGAGCATCCCAGTGTTCAAATCACAATTTTGGAAAGAATCCTATTTATTCTGGATGATGCTCAATTCCACACATACTTCAGGGTAGAAACATCCATAGGAACAGCCAAAAATGTCATTTTACCAAACTCTAACATGGGATTATGCTCTGCTGGGGAGTACCAGTCACATCTACAAAGTACAAAGGCAGAGGGTTTCAGGTGTGGAGACCAATTTGCTTTTGCTGCTACAGTGATTCATAACCATCATCTTCGAGATTTCCATGCTGTTCTAGAATAAGGAGTAGTCCTTTTTTTATCTGGTGGCTTAAAGTAGGAATAAACAGGTGCTGCTGGGTACTCGGCATCGGGATTTTCTGCCATCATTTTCAGCTTTGCTTCAATGGCTTTTATCTTTGCAGTGACGCTGGAAAAAGGACAGCAGAGGATCAGAATGGGCTTGGGTACATTCAGAAAATACTGTGTATTTCATCTTCCTTGTACTTCTCATTCATGTTGTAGAAGCAACAATACTCAAATAGGAACATTCAAACACACAAAGAATAACCAATGCTCTCATTTCAGGAATGAGATCTGAACCACCTGTTAAGTTTTTACTTTAAACCCAGACACTGTTAGGAGTACTTTGCATATTGTCACATTTAGTCCAAAGGTACAAACACTATGTCTTGGCAACTAGTAGGCACTCAGATATAATTCATGTTGGAATTGAAAGCAGGGTCTGGAAGAGATACTTGAATACCCATGTTTATAACAGCATTATTCAAAATAGTTAGGATACAAAAGTAACCCAAGTATCCATTGATGGATGAACGGATAAGCAAAATATGATTCATAATACATTTTAAAATATTGTTCAGCCTTAAAAAGGAAATTCTGACATATGCTAAAACATGGATGAATCTTGAGGACTTATGCTAAATGAAATAAGCCAGACACAACAAGATAAATGCTGTATGATTCTAGTTAATATGAGATACTTATTAAACATTTAGAGACAGAAAGTAGAATGGTGGTTGCCAGGGGTTGTTTAATGGGTATAGAGTTTCAATTTTACAAGATGAAAAGAATTATGGAGGTGGATGGTAGTGATGGTTGCACAATAATATAAATGTATTTAAACACTACTAAACTGTACACTTAAAATTTGAAAAAAATAATTCATGTATAATTGAAAGCAACATTGTAAGGTAGGTTATAGCCTTATTTTTGTACAGAAAGGTTAACTTACTCAATGTTAGACATAGCCAGTAAGTGGTATTGGTTGAGATTTGACTCCAAAGTCCATTCTAGTAACTATTACATTGTATCACCTTTTGAATCACCTTTGAATCACTGAATAATAATGGCAAAAAGAAAATCCTGGAAATTCTATGAAGTTTCTTTTTAATGACAAATGTTTGTTTATAAAGGCTATCATTTACAGAGTGCTTATAATGAGCCAGGCATTGTGCCCACATTTTATAGATAAAGAATCAAGTGCAGAAAGGTAGTGATTTGCTCAGGTTCACACAGCTAACAAATGACAGAGTTGAGATTCAAGCCCAATTTGTTTATCAAAGTCCTTGCTTTTCCCCTCCATCAGGCTGGGAGCTGAGCAGCCCAATATTAGAGAGAAGAGGTGAGGGGACATTGTGGAAGTTGTAAGGAAGTCCATTCTGATCAAGGTCATGGCAATCCTTGGACCAGAATGCACTCAGGCAGTGGAAGTGTTTTAACTCTGGCTCCCTTTATTTTCCATTCTTGCTGCTGTTCATGGTAACAGTCAGGGAGAGAAGCGTAGAAGGAAATGTACACATGGCCTTTTAGATATCAAAGGTGTGCACTGCTGCACACGCTCACACTTCACACGAGCAATGTGAATGAAAAATGTTATATTACCAAGATGCATTCTGCCTCCGCTGTCATTAGTGGGACAGTGGGACATTGATGTTGTATGTGTCACACGGAAACAACCTTCTCTGATTAGGTAAAGATGTTAATACAGTGGTTCTCAACCTGTGGGTCGCGGCCCCTTTGGCAGTCCAACGACCCTTTCACAGGGGTCGCCTAAGACCATCCTGCATATCAGATATTTACATTATAATTCATAACAGTAGCAACATTACAGTTATGAAGTAGCAACGAAAATAATTTTATGGTTGGGTCACAACATGAGGAACTGTATTTAAAGGGCCAGAAGGTTGAGAACCACTTTGTTAATAGAAAGATGTAAGCTGAGGTTCTCTGGGTTAAAAAAATGAATGGAAAACACTAGGTTATCTATTAAAAAGTGAAAACACTGAAAATAAGAAACTAAAGACATGTTCACTGTAATATGAAGATCACCCAGCAAAAAAGGAGAAATCCTTTTTCTACAGGGTTAGATTTATGAAAACCTCCATAGACACTGATCTGTAATTAAAGAGGCTCAATCTTAGTGGGAATATAGCATAGTGGATATAAGTTCCTAGTGAACCTATTGATGTCATTATACTTTTTTAAATTTCTGAAAGTACAAAACAATAAAGCAGCACAAAATTAAGAAATACCAATAATATTAAACTTGCATTAGTAACACAAAAAGTTAATTTACCAATTTTATTCCTCCTGAAAACATTTCAGGATCACCTTCCCTTTAATGAGATGCTTGCAAATCTGCTTTGTTTGGTGTAATGACACAAAAGACAGGCTTTTTGTCTGTCTGTTTTCTCTCTGGCTCTCTATCCAAATAGGCATTGCTCTCCTGACTTTATGACTGAACTAGGGGCCCGGTGCACGAAATTCGTGCACTGGGTGGGTGGCGGGGAGTGTCCCTCAGCCCAGCCTGCCCCCTCTCACATACTGGGAGCCCTCAGGCGTTGACCCCCATCACCCTCCAATCGGAGGATTGGCCCCTTGCCCAGGCCTGATGTCTCTGCCAGAGGTGTCAGGCCTGGGCAGAGGACCCTCATTTCCCCCCGATCACTGGTTCTGCCCCCCGCCCAGGCCTGATGCCTCTGGCCCAGG